AGGGCAGGGTATAAATAAAGTAATTTTTTTTAAAAATCCAAACGTAAGTCATGTTGTATTTAATCATAGGCAACCAATAGTTTTGTTAACCTGCCTTTCCTTTTTGTATGGACGCTTGTTTTTCACTGTTAATGTAATTCAGAAAAGAGATGACCAATTGGATTTTTAAAAACCTTAAAGATTCTGTTAATAGGGATTATAAAATTCAGCACCGAAGGCATGTTGAATACCACACTGGAGATCTTAGGCAGCTGTGAATGGATTCCCTGTTCATAGTTGTTCCTCACAATAGAGCTGTCAGTCACCTGTTGCCTTGGATGACCAGCTGGCCTAATGACTCATTTTTCCCGCCCCTTCCCAAAAATAGACCAGTGGCCGGTGTAGTTAGCACGTTGGCTTTAAGAGACAGAACCCTTGGGAAATGCCCTTTTCTCCCAGATCTTATTGCCTTCCCCGCATTCTTCCTATTCTGCTTTTCTTAATTATATTGACTATTCTTGATTTGTTTGCTATCCTTTAACTTCCTGTCCATAATGCGGAACCTTTACATCATTACTAACCCATTTTCTTTTATTTCCTTGCCTTCTCTTTATGGTTACTTTGCATACTTGCCCACCTTATTATTAGTATTGCTGTGTTGTGCCCATCATCTATTCTGTGACAATCCTGTTAAATAAAATTTATATAAACAAACTCTGCCAAAACTATGCCTTTTTAAAATAAATGAAGTGATACCTACGTGTTACAGCAAGACCCTAGTGACTTATATGAGGTTGTGACTGCTTTTATTGTGTATGCATTATGGAATATTGTCCTATATTCTGCCATGCAATAAAGACACTTAAGTTAAAGACACTTAAGTTAAATAAAGACACAAGAGCAGTCAGAGTTTTCCGATTGCCTAACTCTCACTGCAGCCCACTGAGCCCCCCTTCAGTTTTGTGGCTGGACCAGCAGACCCTCATATTGCTCAAAATGGGTTTCTGAAGTAGGGGAAGAGAATCGGAGAAAATTGCTGCCACTTTGTAAATTTTCAAGACTGCATGGCTGGATACAGATCGTTGTTTTATCAGTTCTTATTGTAGATATGTGTATTACTTTACTTGTAAGCTCTTCTGTATCATTTTAGGGGGGAGGAAGTTAGAAATAAAAAAAATCGAAGAAATTGTCCTGGTTTGTGCACTTCATTGTTTAGATACTCCTAATTAAATTGAAATCAGTGAGCAGAAATTTCACTGACAGCTAGCTTGGTTAGCAGATGGGACTGAGTTTCTAATAACTTGAACAGCATGAGTTCAATGAGAACAATCAAACCAGCCTGTATAGCCATTGTTCTTAGTTATAAGCATAACAGGAGTTAGAGACCCTATGAGCTTTTTTGCTGGCAGAAGCATAAGGACAGGACAGTTGTGAGTGGACATTAACCCAAGTGGGCCAGATCTGTATTGAGAAGGGGGGCTGGGCAAAACACCCCATACTATCTCTTTCACCAAAGGAACAACCAAAGAATAGGGGTGGGCACAGACTGGGAAAGCCCGGTTTGGGGCTTGTGAGCCGGATGGCCCCAAACTGAGCCTCGAACCGAACCCCTGCGCAAAAACCCACCGGAACAGTTTGGGTGGCATAGGGCCTCTGCCGTGCCTGTGTCATCTGGAAGTGACATGAGCGTGTTGCCCCCCAATGCGCTCACGTCCCTTCTGGGTGATATTGGGCCCTGGCCCTAGCATACCCATGTCACCCGGAAGTGATACAAGCATGTTGGGAAGCACAGTTGTGTAACTTCCAGGTGATGCAGTTGTGCCAGGGGTGGATCCCAACACCATCTGTAAGTGACATGCACACATCAGGGGGCTGATCTCCAAACTGAACCGAGCAGAAGCTTGGTGAGTGTTTGGGGGAAGGTGCCATTCACCAACTGAGGTTCATGAGCCTGAACTGGACAGAGTCTGGCCTGGACTTTGGCTCAGTTTCGGGTCTGTGCCCATCCCTACCAAACAGTTCCCCTCATTTAATCTCTGATAGCTCTGTAATAAAAATAGCCAACCTACTTCCTGAATATGTATATATTTAGCATGTTTTCTCTTATGTAGTTCCTGTTGTGAAATTGTTTCTGAGTCAGCTGTAGGGCCTGTGAAATCCACTGTGCCACTGTAGTGGATCATAGATGAACATGGCAGGAAATAAGGCTATTTGTAAGGGCTGGACCAAGTAAGGAATGATTGGGCTTGATCTTATGTGCAGTCTGATGGCAAGCTCTTTTGTATGAGCAGTAAAAGTATTTGTATGTTTGCATAACCAGTTTAATTTGGGAAGCCTCAAACATTAGCTGTTTTGATTTTCTGTGAATGTTATACCCAGTTTTGTCACAAAATCTAGCACATTCTGGGTTAGCAAGAGGCCTAGACTGCCTTCAGACCAAGGCTGACTGTGAAGAGCTCAAAGGGAGTCTCCACAAACTGGGTGAGTGGATGACAATGTGACAAAAGCAGCTCAGTGTTGGTAAGTGTAAGTTGATGCACATTGGGACAAAAAAAATCATGTATAGGCGAATAGGGTCTAAACTTGCTGAGACTGAGAGGGGAAAAGATCATGGGGTGATAGGGGATAACTCAATGAAAGTGTCAACCCAGTGTGCTGCAGCAATAAAAAAAGGCAAACTCTGTGTTTGGTTTTATTAGGAAACAGATTGAGAATAAAATGGACAATATTGTAATGCCCCTGTACAGATCTGTGGCCTCATTTGGAATGGTGCAACCCACTCTCCCAGAGAATGTTCTACCCCCCCTCCCCCCACAGTCTCCTACTCTTGACAGCCCTGTGTTCCAGGGATATGTAGCCTACTTGGATGATTCACTGCTGTGCTAAGAATGGATATGCAGCATTTGAGGGTTTGATTCAAATGAGCATTTAAACTCTGATAATTTAAACATGATTCAGAATCATGTTTCAGTTGGCCTAAGTTAGTCATGCTATGTGGAAATTGTCTGTCCTTCAGTGGTAGAGCATCTGCTTTGTATACAGAATGTCCCAGGCTGCTCCAGTTGAAAAGATTAGGTAGTAGGGGAAGTTAAAAAGTTAAAGAGCTTTACCTGAAACTCAACAGCCACTGCTGATCAAAGTAACCAATACTGACTTTGATAGTAAGAAGCAATGTAGTCTGAATCAATAGAAAGAAGTTTCATGTGTTAATATATATTAAGTTTGTCCCAGATCTTTAAAGCTGAGGTTGGAAGTTGCCATGGGAATGTGCTGTTTTTTCTTCGTCTGTATGTTCTGAGTACACATCTTGCTCTCAGTTTTTCAGGGTCATGGCATATTTATAGATGATATGCTGCAGTTTGCCATAAATTCTGATTTTGTTGCAAGAACTAGAGGTCATCTCTTAGGGAATATTTACTAACATGAAAGCTGTTTGCCATTTCAAAACTACACACACATTCATCTTATATATTTTGTCCTTGTTTTCCGAAGCTGCCGTGTGTACCCTACAAAGTTCCTTTTATTTTCTTATAGTACGGAGGGAGTCCTGTCTGGCACAAATTGAACTCATTACGGAATGAGTGGGTATTTGGGGAAGGGCCATGGCTCAATGGTAGAGCATCTTCTTGGCATGCAGAAGATCCTGGGTTCAGTCCTGACATCTCTTGTTTAAAAGGTGACGTAGTAGGGGATGTGAAAGATCTCTGCCTGAGACCCTGGTGAGCCACTGCCAGTCTGAGTAGACAATACTGGCTTCGATGAACTAGTGGTCTGAGTCAGCATAAGGCAGCTTCAGGTGTCCATGTTTCTATTTGCCCTTGCTCTTCAGGGTATTAACTCTCTCCATAGGAAAGGTGCTCATGGTTCAAAGTGTGTCTTGAGACTGCCCATCACTGTTCTCCGGAGCTGAGAAAACTCCAGGGTCCAATGTAAGAAGTAGCTAGGCAACAGTCCCTGTGCTTGTCTATCTTCCCTTTTTGTAGGAATAAAAACACAAGGGTCAATTCCTGTTACCACTTGGATATAGGAGCTTAGATGAAGCCACATTGGGCATTGCCAAGCTCCCACTATATCAGACTGTATGTGTACATTACATGACTAGCTGTATTTATGCAGCTTGTGTTCCCTCTTAATAAACATGTATTGAAATAATTACACCTATTATTAATAATATAAAAGCCACTTCCTAGCCTCCATCTCTTTGTCACATTCGACTCTTCCAAGGACAGTAGATGGTATTCCATTTGTGAATATTTGCTGTGTTTCTCTTCTTCCATGGAACTCTTGAAATGTTGGTGGTGGAGACAACCTCCCTCCAGATCTGGAGGGCAACAAGTTCTGGGTGAACTGTAGTTTATCCAATTTGTTTTCCTTGCTGAAGGCACTCTTATGCAGCCTAACTTAACAATTAGGCATGTTGCAAATTTTGATGTGAACATGAACACCAGGTGGACTTCGCTTGCTTGACTCCCACAGTCACATGCAAAATGAACGGCTTGCTCATTGGATCACCTTGATAGTCATTGTCAAAGTTGTACCTGGACTACACAGGCTACAATGCAAAACTAGGCTGGGACAGCTCATTATATATTTGACTGAGCAGGCAGCTTTCTCTGCTCCCATCTGCAATGTGGGGAAGATCACTTTGCTGTGCTTTACATGGATTGCTACAAGTTAATGCATGTGAAGTTCTTTTGAATGGGAAGCCTATTAGAGTATATTTTTTGTTTTTATTTTATATACATATATATATAAAAAGTTTTATATATATATAAAAACTTGGAAGCTGCTTTTAAGTTCCCAGAGTGGGAGAAAATAAAGGTAGATATGTGAAGTAGTGTTAAGTAGAGGGTTGAGCAGCTATGAGCTTGCACAATAGCAGTTATTCTACAATGCCAGGTCATTGCAACTTTGCTTCCTGCAGTTCTGGTTGTTAGCATCTGAACTAAATGCTGGGTGGGTATTTAAAAAATAAAGTAGAAATTGCTGATATTATACCAACATACTATTTGTATAATTAGGTGATATTTCTGCTGTCATGATATAATAAAGCTACCCTGGCCAGACTGGAAAAATTACAGGCATATACTTCTGTGGATGTCATTAAACCGAGGGGAATGCAGATTAATGATTTTAAGGAGCAGACACTGAAGGCACACAGAGACACCTAAATAGTAAGTCTAAATTCAGACTAAATATTTTTCTTTGAAGTATGTGCTTTTGGGCAAATGTGTTTGAGGCTAATTTGAAAAGGCACTGTTTACTCCCTGTTTGCTTATATTCTGGAAGTATATTTCCATAATTTTTGAAAATTTGAGCTGATTGCACTTTTATGCTATGACACCAGGAATGATAGAAATGAGGTAATGCCACCCATTTATTTTTTTAATGTAACCATAGCAAGCAATTTTGTTAACATGTGTAAGAGAAAGCATTGTAATCATGAAATGCAAACACATCTGACTTAATTTGGACACATCCCAAGAGCTTGATGAATGATTGACTCCTTACTTTCAAGCTGCAAGCAGCAGGCAGGTCAAACTGGTAGCGTTTTCACACATGCCAAATAATGCAGTTTCAATCCACTTCAGCAACTATTTGCAAGTGGATTTTGCCATTTTCACACAGTAAAATCCAGTTGCAAAGTGCATTGAAAGTGGATTGAAAGTGTGTTATTTAGTGTGTGTGGTTATTTAGTCATTAATATTCACTTGGAATTTCCAGAAAGAAATCCAGTTCCTGTTATAAAGGGATAAAATCAGTAGTGAATTCCTCTGTGATAGTTATCATGTGATGCAATTATATAACAAAATGACTGATATACTTTCTGTACCTTCTGAAAGTTTCTTGAATCAGTTTTATGACTAGTGGCCAGTGTGGTGTCTAGGGGTGGGAGTCAGACTAGATCAGGGTGGACACCATAGCCATAGCCAATGGTGGTGCGCTGGGGGCTGTGCCTCCTATCAAATCTGCAGTGCCCCATGTTGATCTGAAAATCAGGCCATCCATTCTGAATTGGGAGCAGCTTTGCTTGATGCAACTGCAGCTTTCAGAGCCAGTGCTGGCCAGCCTGCACTGCCCACTTCCCTGGTAGCTTCTGGGCTGCCTCCGTACTGCGGGTGTATGCGTGGCAGACATGCTTGCTGTGTTCTCTCCTGCCTCCCCTCCCCGCCCCCCACTTCTCCAGCTGGTGCGGTCTGTGCTCCTCCATTCATGTGGCTGCTGTGATGAGGTTACCAGCGGAACAAGGAGGCTGCAGGCAGCCAAAGAGGAAGGCAGAGCAAGCCTGGGAGCACCATGGGGACCGACCAGCCAGCCACTCTAGGAATGCAGAGGGCAGCTGGGACAGAGGGCTGCATCTGGATGTGCTAGCTCTAGGTGACTTTGGTGGTGCCCCCCCCCCCCGCAGTGTCCGAGGTGAAAGTGAAGAAAGAGCTGGGTATGAGGAAAAGCTGGAAGAGTTGGGTATGTTTAGCCTGGGAAAGAGAAGGCTTAGAGGGGACATGATTGCAGTCTTCAAGTATTTGAAGGGCTGTTATGTAGAAGATGGAGCAGATCTATTCTCTTTTGCTCTGGATTGCAAGACTAGATCTAATGGGTGGAAATTACAAGGGAGTCGTTACCGGCTAAATATCAGGAGAAACTTCCTAACTGTAAGAGTGGTTGAGCAGTGGAACAGACTGCCTCGGGAAGTGGTGGATGCTCCTTCGCTGGACGTTTTCAAGTGGAGGCTGGACAACCATCTTTTGGGTATGTTGTAGGGCTATCTTTCAGCTATGCTCCTGCAGAGTGCAAGGGGTTGGACTAGATGACCTGCAAGGTCCCTTCCAACTCTAACATTCTAGGATTCTACTGTACTCAGTTTTGGGCACCACAATTTAAGAAGGATATAGATGAGCTGGAACATGTCCAGAGGAGGGCAATGAAGATGGTGAGGGGTCTGGAGACCAAGTCCTGTGAGGAAAGGATGAAGGAGCTGGGTATGTTTAGCCTGGAAAGGAGACAACTGAGAGGTGATATAATAACCATATTCAAGTGCTTAAAGGGCTGTCATATCGAGGATGGCGAGGAGTTGTTTTCTTTTGCCCCAGAAGGTTGGACTAGAACCAACAGGTTGAAATTAAATAGGAAGCATTTTCGGCTAAACATTAGGAAGAACCTCCAGACAGAGCAGTTCCTCAGTGGAACAGGCTTCCTTGGGAGGTGGTGGGCTCTCCTTATTTGGAGGTTTTTATACAGAGGCTAGATGGCCATCTGACAGCACTGCTGATTCTGTGAACTTAGGCAGATCACAGATCATGTTTGGTTTGTTTTAGCTAATAAAATCAATGATAAGCCCTGAAAACAGAAATAGTGTTAAACTGCTAGAGACTGTCTTATACCTAGTTTTATTCCAAGATGCTGGTAATGTATTCTTCTTCAGGATGAGGCTGCAGACCAATAAATGCACAAAGGTATATCCCATTGAATTCAGTGGGACTTTGCTTTGCATGGTCTGTAATCTCATGACTTAAACGTTAAACTACAGAATTATGATAGCCGTAACAGTGTTCAGCAGAGGACTAATTAGAACAAAAATGGCCTGGGTAGTCGTTTACCTCTGTGTTGTGCTTTGTGAGTCCTGCCATAACCTTTGTGTGCCACTGAGCTCCAGAGTGAGCCACTGTACTATGGCTTCTTCTTTCGTTCCTGGAGTAAGAGGAAAATCCTTGGGCCGCATAGGAGAAAACTGCACTGCACCTTCTCCCCAGTTTAAACAACAGCTGAGGAAAGTGTGGGAAGAAGCCAGAGGATGGACACTTCCCCAATGGCCTGGGGCTTCTTGCTGTTTCAGTGGACATGCAGGACAAAGTCCAATTTGCCCTATTTGGGCAAATTAATTGAGAGGGCGGTGGTGATACAGTTACAGGGCTTCCTGGATGACGCTTCCGCCCTAGATCCCTCCCAGTCTGGTTTTCGTCCGGGTCATGGGACGGAGACAGTGCTGGTTGCCCTTACTGATGACCTCCAGGGGCATCTGGATCGAGGTGGTTCGGCGGCACTGGTGTTGTTAGACCTGTCGGCTGCATTTGACACGGTTGACCACCAGTTGCTGACCCACTGCTGCACCAACGTGGGGATATAGGGGCTTGCCTTACATTGGCTCATCTCCTTTCTCCAGCGTCGGGGACAAAGGGTGGCGCTAAGGCAACAGCAGTCCCGGAGACACCCGCTTGAATGCAGCGTGCCTCAGGGGGCGGTGCTTTCTCCGATGTTGTTTAACATCTATATGGGCCCCCTTGCCCAGATTGCCCGGAGGTATGCAGATGACACCCAGCTCTGATGTTGGGCGGCCAGTCGGACTCCAGCCTGGAAGATCTGAACTGGGCATTGCACGCCGTGGCTGGTTGGCTTAGACTGAGCCAGCTGAAACTAAACCCAGCGAAGACAGAGGTCCTGTGCCTGGGTCAGGGTGGTTTGGGGATGGGGATCCCTCTCCCGGCCTTTGACGGGGTGCCTCTGGTGCCAGCGCCAGAGGTTAGGAGTTTGGGAGTGCTCCTGGTTCCCACCTTAACTATGGAGGCCCAAGTAGGAGCCACTGCCAGGTCGGCCTTTTACCAGCTTTGGCTGATTCGGCAGTTGGTTCCCTTCCTCGACCGCAATGACCTAGCTACAGTGATCCATGCAACGGTCACCTCGAGATTAGACTACTGTAACACTCTGTACATGGGGCTGCCCTTGATGCAGATCCGGAAACTGCAGCTAGTGCAGAATGCTGCAGCCAGGCTTCTGATAGGTCTCCCTAGATGGGAGCACATCCGGCCTGTGCTGAAATCACTGCACTGGCTGCCAATAGCATACCGAATCCACTTCAAGGTGCTGGTACTTACTTTTAAAGCCGTACATGACCAGGGTCCAGCATACCTGAAGGACCGCATTTCCCCACACATACCCCAGATAACACTACAGTCGGGGTCACAACACCGGCTGGCGATTCCAGGCCCCAGGGAGGCCAGGCTCGCCGCAACCAGGGCCAGGGCCTTTTCAGTGGTGGCTCCTACCTGGTGGAATGAGCTCCTGGAGGAGACCAGGGCCCTGCGAGACCTTTTGCAGTTCCGCAGGGCCTGCAAGACAGAGCTCTTCCACCAGGCTTTCAACTAGGAACCGCCACTACCACTACCACTATGGGGTTGTGGGTTGGCCCTGTATGAAGATCGAGCCACAGTATCACGGTGGACCAGTTACCACTGAACAGGGATTTTGTGTTACATCTAATGCACCATCTAAATTCATCTGATGGATTAACCACTGAGTACTTTATTGTAACATACTGCTGTTTTTATTTGTTTTATATGTTTTATACTTGGCACATGGTGCCCTAACTGTGAGCCGCCCTGAGCCCGTTCGCGGGATAGGGCGGGATAGAAATATAATGAAATAAATAAATAAATAAAAATAGTGGAAGCATAACACAAGAGTTGGTCATAGGTGCTGAACTTCAGTTTCACCACTTGGCTGCACTAGAGAGTCTCTATGAACAATCATAGCTTGATGGCTTCATTAGCAAATAGGCTTTTTTCAAAAGGTGGGATTGTGTAAGTTTCCAGCAATTGTGCTTAGTTGTGCAATCATATGATACTAATAAGGAGTAGTGAACTGAACTTACCTTTGAATGCAACCTTGATCTGACTTCAGGTGTTGTCCTCTCATTCTAGATTTCTCCACAGTTGAACGTAGAGATCTCCATGGTAACTCAAACTCCCAGACTCTTCTCACCAGCCTGCAAGAAGCAGTTTTCAACAGCTCAGAGGTCTTGCGACCAGGTAAGCAGATCCATATAAGAACTGGACATACTTGTAATTTGCATTTCCAGCCCTTCGTTAAGACGCTGAACTGCAGGCTGTGGAAGGTCAGTAGTTCAGCAGTTCGAGACCCGGGTGCCGCATGATGGAGTGAGCTCCCATCTCTAGTTCCAGCTCCTGCCAACCTAGCAGTTCGAAAGCAAGAAATTACAAGTAGATAAATAGGTACCACTTCGGTGGGAAGGTAACAGCGTTCCGTGCACCTTGGTGTTTAGTCATGCCGGCCACATGACCACGGAAACGTCTTCGGACAGCGCTGGCTCTTCGGCTTTGAAATGGAGATGAGCACTGCAACCCTAGAGTCGGATTCGACTGCCTTTCGAGCAAGGGAACTTTTACCTTTAAATTAGAACTGCTCTCTCAGAGCCTATTAGAAACACAGGTGACCAAAGGAAGACTTCACCCTTAAATATCAGCATATAGAGCTGAACATTTAAATTCCTTAGGTAATTGTGTATATTTAAACAGTATAAGATTGTGTGTTGTTATTGGCTCTCCTGGCATATGGCAGATAATGGAGCTTGTCATATCCTTTTCTTATAACAGAAAGCAGTGTCACTGTGAGTTGTTGCACAGATACTTTAGTATGAAACAAGCTGCAGCTCTTGTGAAGATGGCACATTATTTGCCACTTTCCCATTGAAAATAAACAGAAGAGGGACAGCATTATTGATTGGCATGTCAGTATATTTCAAAGAATAAGTGGGGCATAATATTCACAATTGATAGAGCCACATGTATTTTATGCTTTATCGTTTAAAGAGTGAAATACTGTATAAGAATCCATCCTATGCTATTTTTCTGGCGCTAACAAGTTCAAGCAGTCAGTAAATTTGACCTTTTTGTGTCTTTTAAGCATAAACAGGTGTTGGCAGTCTTATTGTATTGAGGGAAACGAACAAGCCTTAATGCCAGTAAAACTCCTATAGACTGAAAGTCAGGCAAGAATATGGATTAATCAGATTGTCAGTTGTTCTGGTTCAGGCAAGGGTTAAATTTGGGCTAGGTTATTTTCCCTGTGTTCTAGCTTTTACTTGGTGGTCATAAGATGAGGCCAAACAGCTATCTGAAAGAAAGAGAATAACTGGCCACCCTTTGCACCTTTTGGCTCCATTTAATCTTGAAATTAATTTGGACCTCTTCTTATTTAAATTACATTGGTAGGAATTTTATTTCATTGGTGGGATCCAAAGTGTAATTTAAGTAAGCAGAGAGCAACTTCTGTGAACTTGCCATTTTTAATGATTCTGCTTTTATACAGCAAACTCCCCACATTGCAACCCATGCTGCTCCTTGATCCCATGGAGCTACTTTATGTGCTGCAGCAGGAAAAGAGAGGCAGAAAAGGCCCATTCCAAGAGCAGAATTTTGTTCATGGTCTTTGGTGTCTAACCCTGTGTCTCTTTCTTTTCCCATTGCTACTGTTACTCTTAAAGCAAGGCTTGTTGTTAACTCTGTCTTTAATCCTGTCACATGTGCAGCTGTCATGGTAGCATCTTTTGAAGGCTTTTTGGGTGGATGATTCTTTTAGGTGTGGTTGCTCATCGATAAAAACATTATGGCTGTTCTAAATAGTGTTATTTTGTTTATTTTATTTTTCTTCACTTAACTAGAGGCCTGCCCCCATGGAATCTGTTTGTCAATAAATAACTTAGAACACCTGACTATAAAAAACATACAGCATTTGGATTTTAATTAGTCTCATTAAGAAGTCAGCAAGTTGTACCCACATACTTTCTCTCAAGCAGTGTTTTTGGATGATGCTCCAAATGTATGATGATTAGATAAAGACCTGCAGCTCATCACATATAGTTCCTTGTGGAATAAGAGGAAGTTTTATCAGAAGTCTTTGATTAACACAGTGATGTCTCCTGCCTGGGGCTGTTAGTCAAGCACCCTGCTGTCTGAGTTGTGATTCTGCCAGGGCTTTCTGTATTCTCTAGTCTTGGTGCCCTAGAGGTGACCACGGGGTCCTTGGGTATTGGCCATGTACAGGATTTACCCCCTCAGGCCAGTCCAGGAATGGGAGGGAATCCTGTACTTTTCAGTACATTAAACAACAAACCACAAGATGGTCTATACTAGAGATGTAAAATTTCCGGAAATTTTGAAGCTCGGAAAAAAACCCGTTTTTTCCCGGTTTTTTTCGGGGGGAAACGGAAATTTTCGAAAAAATTGAAAAAAATGCTACATTAGCATTTCTTTTGTTTTTTCTAGATTGAAAGTCATTCTGTTACTTTAGGAACATAAAAAATGACTATGGACATTTTTACTTGGCATGAAATTATCACAACTAGCATATTAAAAATATAGTGTACCCAAACAATTATTACAAACAGAATACCCACCCACATGCAAAAACAAAACTGAAACCTTTTTATTTTCTTCTGACAATCGCACCTCCTAAAGGAAGAAATGCATCTTGTTCTTGCATTGGAGAGTTCAGTTTGTAACCTAGGACTTGCTTGTCCTCAGTGCACAGAAATTAGATCAATCTGATACCATTATATATTTTAGAAATGATTTGGAAAATATTTGAACACCTTGTCTTAAAATATTTTATTTATCATGTTAAAATAAAACATTCCATAATCAATTTCTTTTCTTTTCTTTTTTCAATTTTTCGGAAAAAAACAAAAAAGCTTCAGGGAAAAAAACGGAAAAAAAACGTGTTTTTTCCGAATTTTTCCGGTTTTTTTCCGGGCCTTCACATCTCTAGTCTATACCCTCTCTGGTTTCTGAACCATGTACCACCAGAAACTCTACTCAGAGCTGCACACTTTACACTCAATGGTAGCTTGTGGTCAGCTTAGGCACAGGAACTTAGACTTGGAATTCAGGTACAACATCAAAGACAATTTTTAACAAACAGAGGAATCTTTATTTAGTACAGAGCTTAGCACAGACTACCAGAGTTTACCAAAATAACAAGCCTAAGATGATTTGCCTTAACTACACAGTAAAAGATACATATTTATCAAGTTCAGGAATATCCAAACAGTCCAAGGGATTTTGAAGGCAAAATCCATCTTTGCTCAACCATGTGGTCCAATTCACAAAGCCAGTCCTTTGTCCCTCAAGGGCTGCATTTCAGGTGCAATAAAACAAGCGGAGAGAACAGGAGCAGAGAGCAAGAGACTCTCTCTCATTGGGATCAAACAACTATAGTCCAATTCCAGTCATGATCAGCTGTGGCCATTCAGCCAATCACGAGTGGACATAGGTGTGTCCAATTGTTGGTTGCCATAGCTGCAACACAGGAATGGCTAGAAGTTTGGAGACTCCTCCTGCAGTCAGGTGACCCAGCTTCTATCTACTTCATTTAGTACGTGACTTGTCGCATGTGGGGCCAGAAAGTGTAGCTATGAGGTCTGGCGTTTGGCATGGAAGTGTGAAAGAATGTGGGTTTATGGCATGGCTATTTAGGCCATTTGGCCTTACCATGTGGCTAGCAAGAGGAAACAAGGCACAGCATGTTATCAGAATGTAATCACAGGAGAGGGCATGGATTATAGAAAGCAGAAAGCAAAATTTCTATACAGGCCACTTTTGTTCACCCTAGCAATCCCGTGATCTAGTGGTGACTCCTGCCCCGAACCTCCTAGGCTTCTGGCCTGTTAGCCGCAGCTGGCTGAAAGTTCACTGACAGGCCACACATCTTGGTGTTTATCAAGGTTTTGATCTCCATGATGTTCACAACCTCTGATGAGGAACTGTCAGGTCTAGTTCCAATACCTTAAGTTCTAGGTCAGACTTTCATCATTAGTAGCACTTCCATCTTGTCAGGATTAAGCTTCAGTTTTCTAGTCCACATCGGCTCCAGAACTGCCTCCAGGCACTTGTTCGGGGTTTCGACAGCCTCCCAGGAGTGATCAGAAGTGCAAGATAGAGCTCAGTGTCATCCACACATTGGTGACAACCCAGCCCAAATCTCCAGATGATCTCACTGAGTGGTGTCATGTAGATGTTGAAAAGCATAGGGAACAAGATGAAGAAGAGTTGATTTTTATACTCCACTTTTCTTACCCTAAGGAATCTCAAAGCGGCTTACCATCGCCTTCCCTTCCTCTTCCTACAACAGTCATCTTATGAGGGAGATGGGGCTGAGAGAGTTCTGGCTTTATATGGAGAAGTGGGGAATCAAACCCGGCCCTCCAGGTTAGGATCCGCCGCTCTTAACAACTACAGCACACTGGCTCTTGAGGAACCCCAAAGGCCAAGGGGCTGAGCAGAAGTCCTCCAGGACCACCATCTGAAACCTTCCCTCCAGTTAGAACCACCACAAAACGGTGCCTTGTAATCCCAGTCCAGGGAGGTAGTCCAGAAGGATACCATGATAACTGGTATCAAAAGCTCTGTGTGTGTGTGTGTGTGTGTGTGTGTGTGTGTGTGCGTGCACCGGCGTAATCTTCAGGGGGGCGGCGGGGCTTCAGCCCCCACCGAAATTTTTGGGAAGGTGCTCAGCCTCCCCCGGGGGCAGGGGTCTTTTCCTGCCTGAGCAAGGTGGCACTATGCTCTGGAAGTGAGCCCGGGGCGCCCCGCCTCCTCCGCTGTCATTCCTGGCCCGCCTGCGGGGAGCCCGGTTCCAGGAAGGGGAGCGCTTTATTTTCCCTTGGCTTGCTGGAGTTCCCCGCGGCTCCTGGGGGGGGAGGGGGGTGCTCGGCTGCCTCAGTGAGGTGAGAGAGGGAGCGCCTCCAGCCACCCTGCCTGCCTGGC